GCATTTTTGGTATCACCTGGCAGGACAAAGTTCCAAACAGAATAGTCCTAGAATGAGATGGAATTTTTAGCATGTATACATTACTGAAACAGCTATGTCTACGTTGGCTTGGGCATGTCGTGAGAATGGCTGATGGTCGGATTCCAAAAGATCTCCTGTATGGAGAATTAGTGCAGGGTAATCGCCCCAGAGGGAGACTACAGCTGTGATACAAGGTTATCTGCAAGCGGGATCTGAAGGCCTTAGGAATGGATCTCAACAGATTGGAAAACTTGACATCTGAGCATTCAGCCTGGAGGCAGGCAATGCATCATGGCCTATCTCAATATGAAGAGACCCTTGTCCAGCACGCCGAGGCGAAGAGGCAGTTCCAAAAGCAGCAAAATCAGGGAGATGGGCAGGGGACAGATTGTATTTGTCTTCAGTGTGGAAGGGATTGTCACTCTCGAATTGGTCTTCTCAGCCACACTAGACGCTGTTCCAAGTCCTCCATTCAGAGCATGTTACCATTGTCTCTTGAGACTGAAGGATGCCTACAACACCTTCTAGAACTGACACCAAAGAAAGATGTTCTTGTCATTATAGGGGACTGGAATGCTAAAGTAAGGAGTCAAGAGATAAAAGGAACAACAGGTAAGTTTGGCCTTGGAGTTCAAAACAAAGCAGGGCAAAGGCTAATAGGCCGATGTGATGGTAAGATCCTGGCTCAAGGCCACAACAGTGAGAGGTTCCTGGCTGAGCATGGATTTGAGCTGCTACCAAGATTTAAAAATACAAAATATACAAGAGTTGAACAAACAAACGAAGAACAAACAAAGGAACGAATGAACAAACAAACAAACAAACAAACAAACAGGAAATAACAAAGATGCCCTTTGGGGTCTACTTATTTATGAAGTTCAAATTCCCACTTCAGTCTCAGTCATTTTAAGCCATGGGCTCTAAAGGTTCTTCTCAGAAGCCCTCCCAGTAAAATGTTCACATTTACCTACATGCAGCATAACACTTGTGTGTATGAACTCTGTAGGCATTGTTTTCTTAGTTGGGTATGGAGTTCAACCCAGATCTTTCCCAATCCAATGGATATTATATTGTAATAGGGTTATTAAAGATAGATTCAGGCTCAGGAGAGGTTAAAACCCATTGAGTTTTAGAACATGAATGTCCCTTTATATCCCACACATAAATAGCTCAGTGGTTTAGGTCTCTGGCTGCAGATCCCGAGGTTGAGAGTTCGATTCCCCACTGTGCCTCCTTGACGGGGCTGGACTTGATGATCCATGGGGTCCCTTCTGGCTCTACAGTTCTAAGATGGTAATGATGATTTAAAAACACACAGAGTGTTCCTTTCTAAATCCAGCCATTTCATACTATCGTATTGAGCTCACAGAACATCTAGTCATCCATAAGCCAAGTGTGTAAGCAAAGCCTATACGGCCATAACATTTGCATTTATTTGCACTGCTTATTTATGGAGAGATTCCTGCTCACATTATGGTCTCCACTACATGGTAGGAGCTGGTTGCTGAAAAGTGTGGGGGGTGGGGATCACAAAAGGTTTCAGTGTTACTTAGACACGACAGCAAAAATGGCAAGAAGTGGGGGGAAAAATCCTTCCTCGTAATAGAGCCAGATAGCTTTAAAGCGCAGGATAATAATTTTCTGGAGCAATCCAGGACGAGACTGTGATTTGAGCACCATTCAGCATTTTTAAATGTCAGAGACTTTAATGTGAAAAAGGAACTCTGTGCATAAAGGCAGAACAGTTTTCACATTGCAAGCAATAGCGCTTAAATGTTCTCAAGTTTGGCTAATTCAACTATAGGCATAGAATGGGACTTCTGCCTTGGTGGAAGGCCCATCCGGGCACTGCTTTTTGAAATGAATCACAATTTGAAACTGATTTCTTGTCTTCTTGGTTCCACCACCACCACCGCCACCATGATCCATAACTGAATTATTTGGCTCCTTTCTCTTCTTCTTCTTCTCATTCGCTTTGCGCACACCCCAGCTCCATGATATAGGCAGCAAGTATAAATGGGACTTGGCAAAGTGAAATTCAATGTTGTCATACATTGCTAAACTCTAGATATGCCCCCCACCTCTCTCATCTTCTTTCCTTCTTTCTCTCTCTCTGTGTAAGAGGATCAGCCAGAGACAATTAGTCAGTACATGTCCTTAGTCCCTGGTGAGGGGAAAAGGGAGAAATTGAATAAGGACCATGCTGAAGCCAATATAGAATATTTATGCTAGGAATCTATGAGTCAAAAGCTTATTTTGTATCTGGATTATGAATTTCAGCATGGTTCCAATTCCATACCAATTTGCCTGAGAGAATCTCCAGTTAAAGTCAATGTGTTGCATTTCTTTCAAAGTGTATAGGATCACTTTGGTTCATCGTTTCTCGTTACATGCGCGGTGCAGAGTAAAAACAAAATAAAGTGGCCAAGGTCTGACTCCTGATTCACGTTTAAGTCCTGGGAAGTCTTTGCACCAGATCGCTGCTCATGGAGAAAGTGCCGGTTGCATTCCCGGGTGCATAGCCAAGTTCCCAATTGCGCACGTGACTGGAAATGCAATCACCAGCGTGTTAATGAACAGCAATTTGCCTGCAAGAGTTCGGTGGACTGCACTTGCGCAAGAGGGTATTAGCAATACGGTTCTAGCCAATAAATTACAGTACTAAAACAGACCATCACCTTAAAGAGAACACAAATATTGTACAGTTTGGGAAACTATTTAAAGATATCAACAAAAAGAACATCGTCCATCAAAATGCCCTTCCTCACCAGTCAGTCAGTAGCCCCAGGTCTAAGTGAACAGAAATGGCTTTCATTGTCAGCCAATAGCAGGGATGGAACCAGCCTAGTCTTCCTTGAAAGGGAGTTCCATAGCCTGGGAGCAGCCACTAAGAAGGCCCTGTCTTGTGTCCTCACCAAATCTACCAGTTGGGAATGCTTGTCTAGAACTATTGGCCTCCCTTGGCAATCTTAAGATCTGGGCACAAATGTATTTCAGTTCATTTTTTAAGTAACAATTTACGAAAATTCAAAAACAATATGGAAATTGGTGTATTACGGATGGGAATATTGTTCACATCCTCTTCAGGATGGGAGCAATGTACAACTCAGAGGAAAAAAGAATGCAGAAGGAGTAAAAACTGACCAGTTGAACCATTCAGGTCCACATCTCTGAAGGCTAAAATCTTAAAAGTCTAGATTGGATTCCTACTGCATCCAACCATGTCTGAGATGCCAGCATAAGATTCCCACTTTTCGTTCCTGTAGGAGGTGTGTCACCTTTAATACTTGTTTGGTTAGGGGGTGAGTAGAAGCCTGGATTTGTTGAATTTCCCCAGTGTAAATGGTCAAGAATGTCACTTATTTCATTTTTGAAGATCTAATCAAAACTTGTAGTTCTGGGATAGGAAGCCTTTGAACTTTTCAAGCATTTAATGATGGAGAAAGCAAAAGATGTCCTTACGATTGCAGTGTCTGTGTAAGCAACCCAAAGTATTTGGGTATTGTTTATATGGATCAGTGGTACAAACAAATGGCTAAATTAAGTGAGAAAACAAATTAATTAATTAGCTCATAATTAATTAATTATGGAGACTTGCCGTCCATAACCCACATGGATAAGGGGGCAAGGGTTGTATTGCAACTCAAATCATCAGCCACCCATGCTGGTTGGAGATGATGGAATTGTAGTCCTCCAGCTCAGGAGGGTGGAAGTATTTGATACGGGAATGATAATGCCCCAGCTGCATGAACAGCTCTTATGGATTCTGTGCAAGTCTGTTTAAGTTTGATGTTTCTAGGATCCTTGTTATAATATCTAACTGACTGCAGTCTGAGACCTCCTAAATTAATAATATGCTCTGGATATTTTTTAGAGGGCAATGCTCCTGTTTAGCAAAACCCATGGAGCTCTTCTGGGTTTTTAAAGACTAGCAAGTAGCAATTAGAATAGATTTTTGACGACTCCAGGTCATTTCATAGAGTGCAGCCTTATTAAGTAGGATACCGGTGGGTAGTGAAATGCAATATAAATGGGAAAAGCCCAGAATTAAAAATACAGATGAAAGTACTGTATATGTGTATACACAGAGATAAAAGAGAAGTACAGTGGCACTCAAAAAACTGATTGTTTTTACTCTTCCCTGCCTTCTGAAACAGACTAACACAGCTACCTCGTTGATAACTCCACGGTCAGTTAAGAATCCTTTAATAACTTTCAGGAGGTGGCGGAAGGACAGATCTGAATGTACTTTCAGGTACCTTCCCAGCTCCTCAAAAACTTTTGAGGATTCCCCGTCCCCTGAAATGTTTTGAGTGTATATTTCGGAAAGGGGCGTCGGGGAGGTGGGGTGGGTTTCCTGGGCTGAAGGAGGCAGGGTTTGGGCTAGCCCAGGCGGGACATTTCCCCCGAAACCCCTGTGCGCCACCGAACCGGACCTGCTGCTTCCTTATGCTCAGGGCTTTGGGAGGCTGGAGTTCTCGGCCCGGACCCTGAGCGGCGTGGGGCGAGGGAAGGGAACCAGGCAGGTGGAGGAGACGAACACGGAGGATGGCCGGCATGGCCAGGAGGGCGGAAAAAAAGAAGAGAGAGGCGCAGAAACCGAGCCGCGCTTGGCCACCCGGTTGCCAGTCGGTGGGCTGGAATTGGGTGGCCAAGCTGGGGAGCAGAGAGAGAGGAGGGGAAGCCGAAGGGCTCCTGGAGGGGGTTGCCATCGGGGCGGGGCCGCAGAGTTCCTCTCGCCCCCTCCAGATCATTTGCACACCCTCCTCTTCCTCTCCCTCCTCCGCGGCGCGCGTTTTTGCGCTGCGCTCTTGGAAAGGTTCCTCCAGGGCGCACGCCCGGAGCGCCGGCTCCGCTTTCTCCTTCGCCTGCCTCTTTCGCCTCCCACGGGCGCTTCCCCTCGCCTTCTCCCACGCTGAGTCTCTCTTTGTCTCTCTCTCCTCTCCCCCCCCCACCCCACGCTTCTTGGCTATTCCAAGGGAGGATGATGAAGCCCCAGAGCCAGCCCGAGCAGCGCAGCTCCGCGGGGATACCTCCACGGGACGATCCGCAGCAGACGCCGCGCCAGCGGCCGCCTTTGCCTCCGACGGTCCCGGAGAAGAAAGACGTGGAGCTCATCCTGGTCAAAGAGCAGAACGGCGTGCAGTACACCAGCACCAATCTCCTGGAGAGGGGTAGCACCCCCATCTACACCCTGGCCGATGGCTCGCCCGTCCCGGAACGGGAGACCTGGGGCAAGAAGATCGACTTCCTCCTCTCGGTCATTGGGTTTTCCGTGGATCTGGCCAACGTGTGGCGATTCCCCTACCTCTGCTACAAGAACGGAGGAGGTAAGAGAGGCTTGGGAACCATTCTCTGTCTGTCTGTCTTCCAGCTCTTATTTCCATCCTCTCCCCGGTGCGGGACACGGGGCAGGGATGATGAAAGCTAAGACTTGGGAAGTTTCTGCCCTTCTTTGGAGGCGATGTGGGGCCAAGCGACATAGGAAAGCAAGCTCGCCTTGGTAGCTAAAATCGCAGTTCAAGTTTCAGAGAGGCGATTTCCGCAGACTTGTCACCTCTGAGAAATAGGACATGTAAAGGATGGCTGTGTTTACCTCCCTGGGACCAATCACAAAACAAAGCAAGGTCGCCTGCGAAGAAGAGGAGGAGGAGGCAAAGCTAGAAGCTTTCACTTCATCCATTTCTTCTTCTAATGAGGTGTTCTTTGTAATGGGAGGGGGGGAAAGAACCCTTAGAATCTAATGCTGAGGTGCCATGGATTCGAATCCCACCATATCCAGCCAGGTTCAGCCTTGGTTATTTATTATTATTATTTTAAAAAAAGTTCAGAGTAACAAAAACAAATTAAATGTTTAAGTCATACACCCACCTTTGTGGGGGAAGGGGGAGGGAAATATTAAAAACTTGTCCTTATGTGCTTCCCAGTTGCTTCTGACCTCTAATAATTCTAGTAGACCTTTTGAGATGTTCAATGAGTGGTTCATCATTCACACACACGCACACACACAGAGAGAGAGAGAGAGAGAGAGAGAGAGAGAGACCATGAGCTCCTATGGCTGAGCAGGGATCTGAACCCAGGTCTTCTGTATCTTAGCCAGATACCCTATCTGCCTTGTGATGACCCTTTTCAGGGTTTTCCAGGTAGAGCAGTGGTCCCCAACCTTGGGCCTCCAGATGTTCTTGGACTACAACTCCCAGAAGCCTTCACCACCACCTCTGCTGGCCAAGATTTCTGGGAGTTGGTCCAAGAACATCTGGAGGCCCAAGGTTGGAGACCACTGAGGTAGAGGATATTCAGAAGTGGTTGACCATTCCTTCCACTAGGGGGCAGCCTTGGGACTGTGCAGCTTGCCCAAGGCCACCCCCAAACTGGCTCTACTTTGTCAGGAATTGAACTTCCAAACTCTGGCTCCCCAAACACGGACCTAACTTACTGGGCTATCCCACCAGTACTATTAGGGAGCATCAAATGGTCTCTCGAGAGTCAGATTGTAGTCATGATTATTATTGTTGAATTTTTCATGCTGGCTAGGAGAAGAGACAGAAGTAAGATTTTTCTCTCTTAGTGGCCAAAATAACGTATCCCGATTTAAGTACTTGATTTAGTTGGGTGGACATTTGATGGTCTACCCCTGGCGGGAGAAGTTAGCTTGTGTTTGGCTTCATTGCAGGTAGCTTGGCCTTTGATGCTACATCTGTTGGTTTATAAATTAGTATTTTTTAAAACCAGAATTTACTTCTGACTGCAAAGTTACACATACTCTGATGGGATTCCCACTGGAGAGACCTGGGCTGTTACCAAAATATATCAAGCTATGGCTATTGATACCACTGCAGCTAATCAGGCATATCCAGAACTACTGGATACTCTGTTGGTTTATAAATTAGCATTTTTTAAAAAACCAGAATTTACTTCTAACTGCAAAGTTACACATACTCTGATGGAATTCCCACTGGAGGGAGCTGGGCTGTTACCAAAATATATCAAGCTATGGCTATTGATACCACTGCAGCTAATCAGGCATATCCAGAACTACTGGATAGCTCAGTAGTTTATGTATTGCTTGGGAGTTTGATTTCCCACTGAGCCTCTTTGACAGGGGCTGGACTCTCTCCTGAGTCCAGCCCCTGATCCATTGAGTCCCTTCCAGCTCTGCAATTCTAAGATCATGATGATGATGATTAATCAGGCGTAAATCTAAAAGGAATTGCTTTAAATTGCTGGGAAATGCATTCCACCCTGGCAGGCCACCCTCTAAAACAGGGTCCCATTGCGCTTTTATGATCAGCCACAAGTACTCTGCTTTATAGTAAAACATCCCAATGTTCTACTTTTCCAACAACTCTTTTTTGTCAGAGAAACTGCAGGCGATCTTGAGGACTAGGAGCCTGGGCTACATGATTTAGTTTCCTGAGGAGTGGCCGTGTTGGTCTATCACTCAACAAAGAAACAAAACAACTTTGAGTGCTGTGACATCTGCATGGCAATTTTTTTCCCTGCCATAATAAGTTGCACACAAGTTTTAGAACTAGCTGGTAAATATATGCAAACAGGGGAGGAAAGAGCAAAATGAATGCAGCAAAATGAAACAAACCCTACAGACATGACATGGATGTAAAGCCTTAAACAAAGGCAAAGTGTGTTTTCAAAGCAGTTTTTGAGAAGTTGAATGCTTTAAATATTGCTTTTTGCCACCCTTTTTTCTACCTGTAGATAAACAAAGTGACTCATGGAATTGAAATCATGAGGATGCTAGAGGAGACACATGAATTGTAATAAAAAGAGCAGGAGACAGAACCAAAGGCAAAACAGCAGAGGGTAAAATATCAGGCAAAGGGCTGATTAAAACAATGAAAGAGCCCATACACTCATGAAATTGAAGACAGGAGCCAGCTCCTGTCGCTGATTAAAACAATGAAAGAAGCCATACACTCCTGAAATTGAAGACAGGAGCCAGCTCCTGTCATTCTCATCCAAAACTTTTTCAAGCATTGGGAGATTCCAGTGGGCCAGTTTTTAAATCATCTTTTTCTCCAGAACCATGAGGACTAGACTGTTATCTCTTTTATGAGAAAAATCCTAGCTGAGTGGTACAAGGTTGTGGGAAACATCTGCCTAAAGGTTGTAGCTTCATTCTGTATCAGTGGCAGCAGCCAACGGGTGGGGTAACCCTCAATCTGCCCTTTCGCTTAGAGCTACAGCATAAAAACCAGGAGGACTAGACTGTTATCTCTCTTTTTTTATGAGAAGAATCCTAGCTGAGTGGTAAAGGGTTGTGGGAAAGTTCTGCCTAAAGGTTGTAGTTTCATTCCATTTCAGTGGCAGCAGCCAACGGGCGGGGTAACCCTCAATCTGCTCTTTCACTTAGAGCTAGAGCATAAGGTCAAAGTGTTTCTTCAGTCAATCCTGGATACAATTAGGTAACTAGTATCCTATCAGAATTCTCACAACAGACTTTGTAATCTTGCAAAGTCAATAAAAAGAGTTATCAGGGCGTTGCCTGTAGGCTCCGCTGGCTCATACATCTGTTGTCAACTGTTCCGTGATGTGCATCTTGGTGGACTATGACCTTGTGTTGACAGCAAGCTCCCCCTGTCCTGTTTGTTTGGTCTAATCCCCACCCACAGTCCAGATGAGGCACCTGCCAGTCCCCTAGTGGAGGAAAAGAGAGCATGCCACCAGAGGGGAAGCTCTTGACAAGAGGGAGGAAAGATAGGAATCGAAGGTGTCTGGACTCAGGGAATGGAAGGTGCAGCTATCTTATGGTGCCTGGGTGATAAAAGAGGGATTTGAACCCACATAACATGGGAAACAGATTCCTAAATATCTCTGGAAATGAAGAATTGCATTCTCAGTTTCTGTAAACTTTTACAAAGTTCATGTTGTTGTTTTTTTAAAAAAAGGGTTGGTATAAAACAAAACTGATCTACAACGCCTGAAACTCAACCGCGTGTCCAGATTTCATTGTCCAGCCAGGATGTCAACCGACCGTTGGAAAAGTGGGTTCGAACATGCCACTGATTCCTTAGATTTAAAACGAAATTGCATTGCTGTAAACCATCATTTGTTTGCAGAGTAACTGGAATTTACAACATTCAAAAGGGCCCATCTGCTCTTGTTTGGATTTATTCACATGTGTGTATGCTGCGTGTTCTTGGCAAGCCTAAGTCCTGTACACTAGACATCTGGATGTATGTGTGAATGGGCTCACACATATGTGGCATTAAATATCTAAATAGGTGTTATTGAACCACTATAAATCTGAGGGCAAGTGAGGCGAGAGAAGGCAGTGATCTATGATGTAGCTGCTGTGGTGGCCTGTGCGTGTACACAAATCACAACTTGGTGCTTCAATCCATGAAGTATTCATACTCTGCAATAAAGAGGGTGACCAGAACATTTGCCTACAGTCCTATACAGAAGGATCTGGAAGACGTTCCACTGATTCTCTTCCAAATAAACAGCCATAGGATAGCAAGTTAAGGGAAAATTCACTTTGTACATTGGTTCTGTAATGCTTTTTATTTTGAGGCTACATCAAAGACCTGTGATTTCATCACATGTCTCTCTATCGGTAAAGGACCCAACTATTCCCTCTGTTTTGTTTTTCATACTTTCCCTGGCCAATTCATCAGCTGATGATTAATCTTGTGTAATTTAGTGATGTAAACCTTCGCTTGTCTTATTCTTCAGTTAAAAAATAAGGAAAATAAATCAGTTCTTCTCTGGAAAGCAACAAGCTCTTTTCTCCCATTACCAACAAGAGTTTTCACACTTGTGAGAGGGGAAAAAAATCGAGCACTTGTGAAAAATTATTGTCCCCACTGCTCTGTTGCATGGAGTGAAAATTATTGGAGTGGTTGGTTTGCATGTTTTAGACTAATTATCCAATTCTTGGTCTGTTTGTTTGTTTGTTTTTCTGCGTAAGAGAGATGGTAGTTTTGTACAAAGGGATTTTGCTCAAATTGCATTCTTTGTTTCATTTTGCACCGGGAGCAATAAGTCTCATGGGTCTCAGTGACTTCTCAGCTTAGACAGCCTGCCCCAACAGGAAGGGACCAACTGGCCAAAATCTGTCACATCTCTACGGTAATGAGCCCCTCTGTAGTTAGTTTGGATCATGAAGTCCACTGCTAGAGTCATACTTAAAGCGTTAACTGATTGGCAGAACTTCCAAGACCTTGTAGTGAACTGGCGTAGCCTCCAAGAACCTTGGGTGATATCCATCATATGATAAGAGCAGGGCTTCAAGATAAATAGCGTAATTAGAAATGAGAAGACCTGTCTCTTTCACTGTCCAGTTCAGTGGAAGGAACTTTTTCAGCCA